GTTCGCAAAGTCAAGCCATGACATGACATTATTATTGGTGGCAGCAGCAGTGGTTTGTTATACCTTAGTTACTGGACTGTTCTGATCTCAACCCGTCGGAGTTCAGTTCTTCCCATTCTCCTCCCCACCCCTCCAGGAGCAAGGGGGAAGAAGGGAAGGGAAGTGAGTGAGCAGCTGCGTGGTTCTGAGTTACCGTTTGGCTCAAGCCACAACGCCTGTGTGTACAGTGACATCACCAGGGATTCCCTCCCTAAGTATTCCAAATGTATATCAGCCCATAGAAGATGTATTTTTAGGAAGCTGAAAGAAATAAGGAAAAGTTCAGGAAGTGACTCCCACTTCACTGAAATGCATGTTGCTCATTTCAGGAGAATTTACTGAAAGTGCATCTCATTTAAGTCTGTTTTAAAGCTATTCAAATAGAGTAACCAAGATTTCAGTGCAGTTTGTTACAGTGTTTAACACTGAAATATTAATGTTTTCAAGTAATACGCAATCTGTAAGTTATGGGCAATGGATTTACTCAATCTGAAAACCTTTTTCTGTGTGCATTAAGCTGCTCTATGACTCTCACCTTGTCTGAAAGTCACATGCATGTACAAGTAAGTGACTGCTCCCCTACTACTCGCATTTTGCCTTACCTAATTCATAGCTGCCTTCTGCTACATGATAGTACACAGGCTCATTACAAATATCTGATAATTTAAGGTACCTGGCCTCTTTTCATACACTCCCTCCAAATTATAAGAGTAGAACATATCATATGAAAGTCAAGTAAGAGCTGATGAGAAAAAACAATGTAGAAATCATAGAGTCATAGAAGGGTTAGGGTTGGAAAGGACCTTAAGATCATCCAGTTCCAACCCCCTTGCCATGGGCAGGGATACCTCACACTAAACCATGTCACCCAAGGCTCTGTCCAACCTGGCCTTGAACGCTGCTGGGGATGGAGCGTTCACAACTTCTTTGGGCATCCCATTCCAGTGCCTCACCACCCTCACTGTAAAGAACTTCTTCCATATACCTAACCTAAACTTCCACTATTTAAGTTTGAACCCATTACCTCTTGTCCTATCAAGACTGTTAAAATGCACATGATTTTGGTTTTGACTTCTCATGTGCATTAGAGAGTTCTGTTAAACACAAATTCCTGTGAAAATCAAAAGAAAAAAGGGTTGTTTATGATCTGCTCATGGGTCTAAGCAGAGACAACTGGAGGAAATACTGGGTCAAGGATCTGGCTTTTCTTTCTCTATACTAGCCAAGCAGTAATTCTAAATAAAACAATAGCTTCCTAGCAATCATTGCTCATGGACTAAAGTAAGAAATTCACTTTGGCTTGGGCCCTGTTACCAATACAACCTGAGTGAACTACTATGTGTACAGCCAGAACTGATAAAGAGCACACCATTGCTAAAGACTCCCAGCAAAATACAAAAATACTCAGTGTACAATGAATATGATGATATCTTCCAAAGCTGGGTACAATAGCATTAAAAAGAGAGACTTAGTTTCGGTAATCCTGATTAACCCTCATCTCTTTTAGCACTGATGAATTTTTAGTGTCCATTTCTGCTTCATGTGAGAAATCTCTTGTGGTTACATTAATCAACTGACCACCTTTAAAACATCATACCCAGGATAAAATGGAAAAGTGTATATTCTACTTAGGTAACAGCCTGTTTTCAGCCATATGCTATTTTGGGAATCACACTTCCAGTATTCCAAATCAAGTCAAGATATTGTCTTCTTTCAAGAATACAGCTTTATATGAGTTAAAAGGACTTCAGGTTTTCTACCAAGGTCTTAAAAAACTGTTACTGTAAAGGTACTTGAATCAAGATTGTAGTAATTTAGTAGGTTAATTATTTTTTAGTGAAGAATATTATGTGTGCCTTTTTATGATGTTTGGATATAGTTCAACAAGGTACTTAAACAATTGTTTACTGCTAGTTTTACTTCAGGATATATGGATGTGCCTTGCTGAAGTAAAACCTAAATTACTAAGGATGAACTTTGGGGTCAAATTTTCAAAAGCAGCTTTTAATTTTATTGCTTGACCATATTAATTTATTGCTAAAAGTCAAAGCACAACACTAGGGAAGAATTCCAGCATCTTTTCAGGTCTCCAAACTTCGTAAGACTCTGCTGATCAAAGGCAAGTTCTTTTGTGAGCGCTGGAAATAATGAGAGGCCTGCTTTCTATCAATTTGTGTTCTTCATCTCCACAAATGCTTACAAATACACATCAGTGTATTAATAGTTTCTCTCCCTGCATGTCTGAAACATCCTCAGACAGCACTTGCCTGTAGATTGGTTAGCTGGCCTCTGCTAAACAGAGTGTGTGCACCTCTGCTTCCCTCAGTGACAGCACTAGTGCAGATTTTCTCTTCTATACAGGCTTCAGTTTTATTGAAACTTAATTATGAATTAGACTTTTTTTTGTTTTGGTTGTGGTTTTTCTGTCAAATTTGGCTAAAATTATCCCAGGGGTTTTAAAACTTCTTCAGGGACATAAGACTGTGTAATTGCTCATAATATGATAGTGTACATCTCATTTTCATAAGAAGCTAAGATATAAAGAAAATTATTGTCAGCATTAAAGAAATGTGCTTTTAGGAGAAAGATATTTCCCAGAATAAATCTGGGACTGCTTTTCAGAAGTAAGTGATATTTATACCAATGACTTGTAAGCATAAATCTTCTGTACCATCAGAATGTAAGAATCTGCAATAGCATGGAGTTCTAAATAAATATAAAAAAGAAGTTACCTCAGAGTGTCTGTGAAGACAAGGAAAAAGCAGGGATGTGGGCAGGAAACAGGCTAAGGGAGTAGTTCTCACCATTTTATGTATGTATTTACTTATTTCTTGGGTATTTGATTATGGGAACTACATTCTGAATGGACAAAACTTGCTGTGATTAGAACTTCTCTATGCTCAGTGGAGTTTAAGCACTTCAGCTGATTCCTCCTCTCAGAAGGCAAATCTGGGAGAACATCAGTAGCTTCATTTCTTTCCTTGGCTGAGAATATCCAGTGATTTAAGTCACTGTCTTCAAAGACAGCATTTTTACCATCTTGCCTAACAAATTCCAGAGACAGTGACCTCCTGAGTGTAAGATGTTTGTGCTGTCTGTAGATTTTCCAGAGGCACTGACTAAAGACAGATGGAAGGGAAAAGTTCAGTGTGTACTGTGGGAAGGCCTGGTAAAGATTTTCTGGATCCAGCTCATGTTCTTTTTTTTTTTCTACCTTTCCTTGGTAAAAGGTGAGAAAACAGATTAAAAGTCCCCAGAGAATCTGTGGTTAGATATTAAAAATTAATAGTACCTGACACTAGCAAGTCTCAAACTTGATAGTTTGCTAGACAAGCATGTTGTCTGCTGTTTTTACTGGACTCCTCAAAAATGTCTCCTACAATTAGCATTTGTGTCCTACCTAGTATCTTACTTTCATAAATTCAAACAGACTTTGTTCTTTTCTCTTCTTAAACAGTTTTATGACTTACTTTTACTAATCCCCTGCCTAAGCTGCACATTAATATCATATTGCTTCTCTTCAGCCTCACAGGCAGTCATTTTTTGTTACATGATTCAATTAAATATGCAGTATGCCAGGGGCTCTCAGAAGCCTTTCTGGTTTTGTTTTAGGTATGTTTTGTAGGTAGAATGGAAGTCCAGGCAGCTGAGGTTTACTGTGCACAACCAGGGAATTTCCCTCCTTGGTACCTCAGCCTCCCCTTTTTGTACAATGGGAATGTTTTCCTGCCTGCCAAAGGGGCTGTGAGACTTCTGAAAGGGCATGAGGTCATCAAAGAAGATTCACTGGAAAGGTCCAGCTGTGTGAAGTGCTACCATATATGAGGTTTCAGAACAGCGAAGGGAACTGAAAACATTAGAGCTCCTCTGCAACTCAGATAATACTCTTTTTGAAGTTCAGCTGGAACCACAAATTCCATTATTAGAACACCTCAACATTTTTATTCCTTGTTACTTTGGATCAAATTCAGAGCAATGACTAAGAAACAGAGTAATCTTCCTAGTCACTTACTAAAAGCAAAAGAATAAAATTTTCTGACACTAGAGTCCCCATCTGGTTTGATTTTTTTTTAATGCAAGTGGCAGAAAATTACTAGAATTAGTAAGAAAAGAAAAATAAGAAGTTCCAATAACATAGCTTGTTTGAGGTTATATTTTATGCTAACTTTATGACCACACAGAATGGAATAATGCAAGACCACTAGGATTTCCTGATTTGAACAGTATAGATTTAAAGAACAGGGCTGACAGTCCTAATAATGGCTCAACAAATGTTTCTTGAGGCTTTGAAACCTTCAAAGTCATCAAGTATTTCACTGATTTATTATTTTAAGTTGTAAATCATGCTCAATTTAGGGACAAACTTTTCCGTCTTTCACTCTAGTGGCTTTTTCCTAGTAGCTTAGAATTGTGCTTTACACACAAGGTCTTCCTTCTAGAGGTGGGATTTCATTTGAAATTGGTGACTGATTCTCTGTGCACATGATCAAAACAACACCAAGCTGTGAAAAATACCAAAATTCTTCCTAGTCGGAACCATGTGTCTGGAAACTGTTCCCAAACATACTTAGGGAGTTTACCCGTATCTTGTAACATCATTCCAGAATGTCACTGTAGTCTGGCTCACATCTGAGCAGCTTTGCAAAAAAGGTCTTATGTTCACTCTGGAGCTGGACATTGCCCAAGTGCACCCGAGCACAGGGTGCACTAGGGTAAAGTTTGCTTTCAGTAATGCCAACTGCCAGTAAACCCAAGAGGGCTATTATAAATAGAAATTGTTAAGACAAGTGGTGTAGCCACACAAAATTTTCCTGGCAGGAAAGGGGGAAGAGGGGTCCACTAGAGCTGTGATGTGAATTTCAGGCTCATGAGGATTCCCTCTGCTGTGGTGATCTCACCATTACTTCTTAAGTCATCAAGAGTAGCTGCTTTGTAGGAGTGGTTTAGCTACAAAGTAACATTTTAGCTACAAAGTAACATTTTACCTTTCAATGAGGATGACAGAAACCCTAAATTACCACCATCTGCTTTTTCTTCATTTCAAAATTCAATAATTTTAGTGACATACTCAGAAATCCAAGGTACAGGAATGAGTTTCTGCTTTTCCGTCTTTTTATCATCCTCCAATTTTATTAATATTTCAGCAGTGTTTAAGATTAGGTCTTTTGATATATCGGAGTTTTGGGGAAATTGGATAAGACAGACTGATTTTTTCATTTCAGCTTATTGGGAATGGAGTCGTTGCAATTATTTGATGACCTGACTGAGGAGCATTCGCAGAATACAAGTAGAAGAAGGAATCGATTTTCACAGACAGAGTGAGTAGAAATACACAAAATAGGTCTGTATTTCAGAGCTTTCCATAGTTACAGCAAAATCACATTGTTCATCTGGATTCAGGAAGATTCGAAAGAACAGACCTAAGGAAGACACAAAACATGGTAAGATCACAGACTTGAGAAAGTAAGAGCCACCTTCTTGCTCCAGAATGCCCTTCAAACATTGGCACACACGTAAGCAAGCAATCAACCAGACAGAAATCTGGACTCAGACACTGATTCTTGCATTGCTGTTTTCTCTCTCTTCCTGGAATGAAGTCCCCTTGCTGCAAGCTGCACCTCCTGTTAAGAGCTAGTGTCTTAAGAGGGCTGTAGTGGTCTCCACATGGCTTCTTCCTGTGGAAGACCTAACCACCTCTCCTGTCAGATCAGCAGCTGTGAACAGCATACAGAAATGGGATGAAGGTACAATTTCTCACTTATGTCCTCGTTACTCAGTGTTGCAAATGTTCATTCAGCTCTTTCCAGTAGTAGATCTGCTGGTACCAACAGGGACCCAATACAGACCATAACTCAGTGTCTCATAGACCTTCTTGAACAGTCAGTCTGATCTCATTGTGGGTGAGTATCTTCAACTGAAGATATAAAAAGCCTAGTAAAAAGGACTGAAACCAGTTACTCAGCAGAAGGGAAACCTCCTTCCTCCCCCACTCCCTTTAGTCTGAAAAGTCACCTTGCGCATTGCAGGAAATTTCTCTGCCTAACTGACAACTTGGCAGCCCTGACAAAAGCAATTTGACTTTGGATGAAAGCTGGATCTGTGGCAAGCATATAGTTACAAAATAAGTCACGCTTTCCTTCCTTTGAGTGCATGTTCTATTTATAGCACATTCCAGATTATGCAAGGATTCCCAGAACACTGCAGACTCTAGTTGAAAATTAGATCTGCAGAGCACAGAGTGCATAAAGCAATATTTTTAAAATCCCATTGTTAGCAAAACGAGCATCTTGCAGAAAAGCTGGGATAAATTTGGAAAGATACAGCATGGTAATGAAGGGTAGTTACAGTTCATTTGATTTTGTTTGCCAAATCATTTTGATTAACTTCATCTTTTAAAAAAGAAAAACAGTAATTCCATAGAAAAAGTCTGAAAAGCCAAGGTAGATAGTTCACTTGGCTGAAAAGTGAGATTTTTCTGATGCTTCAGAGAGTATATATTTTAGAAAATATGAAGGAATGTAGGACAAGAATATCTGAATTCTAACAGTTTAATATCAATTTCCTCTCAAAATTGTGACAGAATACAGTATTTTTCTATCCATTCAGCCACGGAATAGAAGGTTTCAGTGAAAGCTTGGTTTGTGATGCAAACATTACAAATTTCTTAAATTTTCATGTTGAGAATGCCAAATAATAAATTATTTCCCAATACAAATAAGTATTGGAACTGGAAATATTTCAGAGACATTTAAGAAAAACAACATAGCAGAAGGCCATGCAGATATCGAAGTAAAATACATGTATCATTGAACATACAGTGCAAATACACTGTAAACACCTGCATCTACTTAGTTTCCCCCAGCTAATATGTCATGTGAACTTAAAGTAGTCTTACGCTTTGAAATAGGCCAACTGGCAAAGTTTATTCTGAATTTTCAAAGGACTTACCACTCGTAAAGCATGGAACAGGAATTTCTGAAAGTCAGACTCAGTAATAGCCATTCTGAAAATCTGGTTAAACAACGAAGATTTGTAAATCTATTACAAAGTTTATTATCACCAAGTCATAGCAGGTTTTCATTGAAACATCAAATAAATACATAGCTTTGTGTTAACACTATTCAAAAATACAAACAACACAGACCACTTTCATGCCAGTGCATTCTGTCAGACTTAACAGTCTTGCCCTGTTTTAAAAAATGGATGTATTGATTGGATGTCCCAGTCTATTTTAGACAGCAGATTCACTCTAAACTCTGGTAACTGGTGTGCTGCCTAGCTAATCAATCCCAAAGCATACTCTTTCAATATATGTTTTAGTTTACTACACAATTGCCAAGCCCTGTTATAAAGTGAACATTACAATCTAACAATAAAATACACCTATAGAGAAAGTCTGCAAAGTTTTCTTCAAAAATAGATTAAATTAGCAGTATACCTAGGCTTAACTGTGCAGTTTTATGAAGTGTGTTTAATGTGTTACAAAGCAGAGTTTATTCAACCAGAATTAAATAGCTTACCTTCAAAAGTCCCTTAGAAACTGGAGGTCAACAAAGCAATAATGCTGTTGCCTTTGTTAACACAGCATTCAGGCCTCTACCTATGTATCAGATTCTGCAGTGTTTCAGTCCCTTTTAAAACATAAAATAAACGGGAAGAGGGGAGATAAGAGAGGGGGGTATTTCTAGACCCCAGTGTGCTGTGGAAGGGCATTTCTGTGGAATTTTTGTTTAGTGGTATCACCTATACTTCTCATGTCACTCGAATTTTAACCACTGAAGTGCTATTTTTCCATCAACAAACCATGGAAAGAAGGTGATGTGAGCTCCACAGTTGTCTATCCAACTATTCATCATTAATGGACTGAATTGCAATGCAAACCTTCATGCGTAACTCTAGAATCAGAAAGGAGCCAGATTAGACAGTTTTAATTACCCAAGTCATCATTTGAGCTCTCTCTTCTCATACCCTTTCAGTTTTAAATCAAACCTTTGGTCTCACATAGTTAGTTTTTGCACATCATCCACATAGATACTGGAATAATTTACACAAGGTGTGAAGTAGTCTGGTTTTAGCTATCTGTTACAAAGTTAGCAATGTTACTATTCTTACTGGGCACAGTGTGTAAGATATATTCCCACACTAGGAGAGCATTTAGTAAGGTCACAACGATGCCCAGTCCTTATCAAACACATTCCCTGGAAACTTGGCAGGGGATTCATTTTACAAGAATTCAGGGGCAAATTAATGGTATTGGGTTTAAGCTTTTTCTTTTTTTTTTTTTTTTTCAGCTTTTGTGCAAAAGGAGATTTGTTACCAGCCCGTAACAGAAAATTTGTGGCCAGCCACATCCAAAGTCTTAATTTTGCTTTGAGTAAATTGATTTTTAATTCATTTAAGTCACTAACTTCAGTACAGGTACTTCACATTTGCACTAGTATTAGGCTGTATTCACACTACTAAGATTTATTTTAGTCTGTTTAATCATTTTGTAAGGAAGAAAACTGAACTTTTAATGTAATTTTTAAGATGATAACATCAAGACTGAAGGCAAGAACAGAGTAATATATGCAAGCACCAGATGCAAATGTTTCCAGTGTTTATAAGGGATTTTATGTAACCTGGAGGAACAGAAGCAATAGAAGTGTGGCTGTAAATGGAAATAACCCTGCAGAAAGGCAGGACTCAGTCATAGAGCTATGCCTCTACTTCTAATAATCTGCGGGAAAGAGGGAAGTCACACACACGCTTCATTTCTTGACATTTTTCTGACGTTTTCCTTAGCCTCCATCCTGTCAACAGTGTCTGTGCGTGGTGGGCTTGTTGCCAGAAACAGTGAAGTGGAACTTGAACACGACCAACCACTGAAGATCTTTGCAGGACCCTCAGGCGGTCTGTGTAATCAACAGGAGGCTCTTCAACTTCTGCCGCCAAAGCCAGATCAAACCGTACATCCTGAAAAGATGCTGTACCCAGTGGAAAAACATGGGAGCAGGGAAAACCTTATTTTAGGAAAGAGTCTTTTTTAAAATCTTCTGAAGATTAAAAAAAGAGCAGGAGCAGAGTTACTTATTAGTACTGCAGAAGCTGAAAATAGCCTCAGTAAATTAATAAGAAGACTCAAATCTCTCTGAGATCCCAAGAATGTGTATAAAATTAAGTCATGAAACTTGGCAAATACTATGTTCAACTATGTATCCTGAAAGCAGAATATATACAGCTAATATGCAATACCAAGAATTTGTTGTAACATCAGTTGGGTTTTGCCCATTTCTTAGCCTCAGCAAGAAATTGGAATCTGAAGCTGGATAATTCATTAATTTCAATTAAGAAGAAAAGGACTAAGGCCTAGATCCTACCTCATACTACACCTGTGCAAATTAGGGACTGTTGATTGCCCCAAGTCCTTTCCTACAAGGCGCACTCTGCCAGGCAGCACAGCAAGCAGCAGTGCTCAGGAAGAACTGCTGTCTGAGCTGCCAGCCTGCAATCTGCTCTCTTGAAGCGTTCAGTCTTCTTCCCCAGCACACTGGTATGGCATTTTGCCATTTGCAGCATGTGCTGGCCAAAAGGTGGCATTTAGGTACAACTGCACTACAGAAGTCCAGCAAAATTGACTCGGCCTGTCTGCCAGAAGAAAATCTTCTGCCAAAGGATACCCTTTGTCAGACATCGACAGTCCTGCAGAGGACAGACACGCTTAGGAAACCTGCTTTCACATCTTGCACCATGAGAGATTTCTTCTGTGACCTTGAACAAGTTATTGGCTTGAAAAATATTTGCAGGGGTTCTTCAGGGTAAGATTGCAAAGCCCTCAAATACAATGGTACCGAGGAGCATAAAAGTGGACAACTTTTTTTGGAAACAGCTTTCTACTTCAACTATCAAAAAACCCCAACTGTCCCAGAGTTCAAGTATGGGGGTCAAAAAAGGCTGTGATAACAGAGAGCCTTCCAGCTCTCCTCTTGGGTAATGAACATCTCTTCTGACACTTAAACAGCCGCTGCTCCCTGATAAACAATGCAGCATTTTGCCCTTTCAGCCTACAGAAAGGGTCACCATGTGCAGGGCCTTTGAGTTGTTTTGGGAAGCACAGATCTTAGAAGACTACAGCAACAACGATACAGCTCTGTGTTATATAATTATAATTTCTCCTCTAAGATACACAGCTCACAGACAGTGACGTTCCCTGGCTTTCCTCACGTGAGAGTCACAGTGCTCTTTGTGCAGCATTGCTCCTAGAACTCACGGTTCAGTGACTCTATCTGCCTTGATTGTAAGTGGCTGTGTCAACGCTCATGCCAAAAATAAACCATCCTGTCGAATGACATGGATACTCCACAGGCTTAGAAGCATCTTTTTATAGCAACCCTTTGATTTAAGATACCAAACATTTGCTATTTTTGGCACAAATGCTTGCAGAAACTTTGATGATCTTTAGCCTATACAACTACTTTTGCACATAGCTCAGGTGCTGTCAGAGGACTTGTGGTTTTTCTTAGAGATAGGGAGTATGTTTATTTTACTGGCTGTTTGTACTCACTAACGGAACAGCTGACCTAGAAAATAGAGACTGTATTATCATGTGAGGTTTTCCAAATCATTGCAGGGGTATGAAGGACTTGTCACTTCAAGAAGTTCTAAGATGTCTGATGGTCTGATACTTAACATAACTGAAAATAATTTTAATTGAATTAACTAGAAGTGAAATGTAACCATGGGATGAGTCTCATACATTTCCTCATTTAATGACCTGAAGACAAGATATATATATATTTATTTATTTATGTTAATAAGAAAATGTGGTACTAATGACAGATGCCAAATTCACCCTCTGGCAGATAGAAGCTCCCTATTTATTCATAGTGCAGATTGAAGATGTCCTTATCCAAACAGGTTTTTTTTAAGTCATGATTTCCCAGTAGCACAACTTTACCAGCCATAAACAGCACCAGAAGCTAGTGCGTAGGCAGAGCTCCTGTTATTTTACCTCACATCATTCAGTACAACTAGATAACAGAACAGTAACATTTTGGCAGCACCACCCAATTTAGTCATTGCTACCAACGTTATAGTGAATTGTGTTTCTGATATTTACTATTGTAGTCAGAGCCAAATCTCAGGGAAATGTGTATTGCTACTAAATGTTCTGCAGCTTAAAAAATGCTTCACAAATTAGACCTAGCTTACCACAGTGCATACAGAATCTGGAAGGTAATTTAATTTTCCCATCCTTATAAATCTTAATGTAACTGGTAAGATTTTTCAAACAATCATTACCATTTTAATGATCATGGTGTCATTTGCAGCTGACTAAATACAAGCCCAGACTATCAACTTTTACCTAGGAAAACAATACAGGGAGATAGAAATAAGTGGACACTGTGGAAGGACAACTTGAAGAGAGAGAAGCTGTGTGAGGAGCCACATGTGCCATACTGTGTCCAGTTTTGGGCTTTTCAGCTCTCTCCATTGGAGAGAGTAGAGTGGAGAGCCACAAGGATGGTAGGGAACTTGAACACATAATGTGTAAGAAGCGGGTGATGGAATGGGGTTTGTTCAGCTTGGAGAAAAGAAGGCCATAAGGGAATTTAAGAGTTGTCTTCTGCTGTCTAAAGGTGGGGCTTATACAGAAGACTGTGACAGACTATACCCAAAGGAATGCCACAAAGGCATAAAAACCTGTAGTCACAGGTTGCAACAAGGGAAAGGCATAAGACAAATGTTCTTTATAACAAGGGTGGTTAAGAAAAGTAAGAGATTACCCAGAGAGGACTGAAAATCTCCAAGGCCATGAATTCAGCTGGCAAAGACCCTCATCAGCCTGTAGAGCTACAGTAGTTCCTTTGTTGTTAAAACCTGTTGGTTGCCAAACCTGGTGATTTCCAGCAAACACTTCTTTAAATTGTGTCAGACATTCCAAGTTTTATGAGGTCTCATTTCAGCACTGCTTCAGTTCTAATGGGACTGAAGATTTGCTTTCAGCTTGCCTTCAGGTTTAGCTGTAGTGCAAGTTACGGTTTGCTGTTCTTTCATGCCTGCAGTTCAGTCTCTAGCCGTTGTACTTAGCACCATACAGACATAGAAGTAAGAGGGGAGTCCCTATGCATCATTCAGGCCAGACAAATAGTGGGAAGATAAAAACAAATCCATGGCCCGTCATCAAAAAAAAAAAAAAGGAACAGATCTCCAGCTCTACTTTTAATGCTTTATTTCCATTGTAGTTTCTTGCTTCTGTTCCCTTTTTCATCAACATGACTTAACAGCAAATCTATGTAATAAAAGTATAGGAGGAAAAAAAAAATCAGTGTATGGACACTTTATCAATATTTGAAATAATTTTAAAAGTTAATTTCACAAGAAATCTGTGAATAGAGACTTATTTCTTCTGTAAATAAATATGGTCCTAAATACCAGTGCATTAAGGCTGCTTAAGCCTGCAAGTAAGATGATTCCAATTTGTCCTATTTTAGCAGGGCATACTCAAGGTACACTTTTTAAGACTGCTGAATGCAATTCATTTCACAATTACTTTGAAAGGATTGAAAGCTGACCAGATTAGATTCAAAGCCTGGGCAGCAATTGCTACAGCTGAATACAAACCTATCTATCTTAGTTGCTCACTGATGTTGATACCCACTGGTCATTAAGTAAAAATTCAGTCCCTTAGACTTTCCTCTCTAAGGCATGCTAATGAATTTATTCATTAATGTTAATCCAACTAGTAAATTGTTCTTCTCCCCCTGTACATAATATCCCTCTCCTTTAGCATTTGACCATTTCAGATGCTGCAAGAGAGACTACAAGCTCCCATGGAAAGCTTTCCTTATAAACACTAAAATGAAAAGAACAAAAGAAAACAAAAGGATTGAAAAGTTACTATGTTTTTAGATGATGCAGGTGAAAAAAAAGTGAGTTTTATTTCTAAAAGCTGTCATACAATTCTTATTTCTATATACCTATGCTTTAGCGATATCTTCTTTGCCTTTTTGAGGTATCCACAGCAAGGTCTGACTAGAGGAAACAGCCCATGGAAGAATATGCATTTTCTTGTACCATATCTGCCAGACTGCTTTATTTGAGAAAACAACACAAAACAGGCTCAAATAAAATTAATAAAGAGTCATAACTTACCTTGTCTACCAGAATACAGGCATCAGAAAAATATATAGTAAAACAATGAGCTGCTTTTATGTAGGAAAACGTTCCCTTCCTTTACCTTAGAAATTTAACAGTGATTTTTAATTCTGACCCCTATTAGAAAAAAACTAAAATACTACGAAGCATTAGAGCTTGAGAGATGCAGTCATTATCAGAAAGGAGCTGCATTATCATACACCAGATCTCTCTCATTTTTATTAATGTTATAAAATCTGAAAGTTAGAAAAATTAAGTATGATAAAACTCTCTTGCTGAGCTCTTCTAGGACAGACTGAGGAGTGCCTAAGAGGCTTGTCTACAGTAAGACTTACCCTAAGCCAGGGTAAGGAAATATTACTTCTTACCATTTTTCACTATCTCGTGTCTGGAAACACTTCAAAAAGAAAAATCAATCCGTATGGACAAGGATGCTCTGAGCTGAAAAGATGCTTTCCCCTAAAGAATCTGTACTAAGAAACAGATGCATTAGAAACAGAAACAGATGCATTAGAAACAGTATTTTGCCTTCCCCTTAAAATGAAAGGTGGTGCAGACCTCCTTCAGCAAGCTGTGGCCAGAAACAAAAGTTAAGCAGTCATACCAACACAGCACTATACAAAGGTCCTAACAACAGTTTTTTTAACTAAGCAGCAGCATTGTGCTCCAGTAACTGTTTGCTGTCTTTGGAGTCAGAGCTGGTCACTTGTTTAGTATATATATTATTCAGTGAATGGTGTTGTATTCCACTGCACAACACCTTTAATTGAAAAACTGTCCGTAGCAAAATAGCCAGCAGGCAATGCATACCATTAATGTGCAGTAATATACTTTGTAAACAAACTCAGGTTCAGACAACTACTCATCTTACTATTGGCTTACCTGCCTACATACTCACGTTAAAGGATGTTATAACCTGCTGTACATTACACTTGTGTGGATAAGTGATACCAAGGATTTTCCAGACTGATCCCCAAACAACAGGTCAAAGCCTTAATTCTTTTCTACTGGCTTGGTTGTCTGTTTTTAACTAGAAACACTATTTGTGTATCTTAAACATGTAAGGTTTATGATTACATTACTCAGCCTGAGTTAGATAAGCAATAAGAATATTGGAACAATGCACACAGCTTGTAGTTGACAGCATGTTACCAGGTAGAGGGGAATTGTTCTGAATTCATTTCAAGCCTGAAATAATGCCAAAAAGGGGGAATGCCATTATGCAAGCTACAGGCAACTCATAATTAATGTCTGAAATCACCTTGTAATTTAGTCTTTAAAGGTGAAGAATCAAAACAACTATCAATTATAAAGACCATAGGGCAATTTTATGCAGAAATGTTATTGGTTTACTTCTAAGGTTTTTTTGAAAACCTTGATGTCAAACAGAATCACTGCTCTTCCATGCAAATTTTCAAGCACATAATCCTTAGGCTTTTCTCATCCCCAGTTTGATGTGCTAGGTGGAAATGAGGACTCTGCTGACAGCAGGCCAGATAAAGTACACATCTAGCATCGAGTCAAATGCTCCGCAATCCCAACATGCACACTTGACGGACAGAGACATTTGTGTAATTAACATTTGGCAAGAGGCAGATAACTCAGTGGTTTACCGAGAAATGAGTAGTTCTTGTCATCTGTGTAATATGCACACCAGCTGTCAGTCAGAGCTGGGTGGGGTCTCTTTAGACATGTGTTCACCTTTTCTCAGCTCACAGATGAAAACCCTTCCTTTTCCAGAAACAGACATAAATAGACTTTTTCAGCAGTTGAGATTAGCAGATATCTAAACACACAAGGTAAGTACTGGAATCACAGTGAACTTCCGCAGTTTAAAGTATTTTCTTAGTTAGAAAGTATCTGTACTATAAAAGTCTAAAGAATCTGTACTAAAAAAATTAGGTGCATTAGATAACATTTTTGGTTAAAGTTCTCATTAAGGCTCCTTCCTTGTTTTCCCTTGCTAACAATCAAGAGGAGTCCTGCAGATAAAGCCCTACACACTGTCAGCAAAGGTTCAAACCCAGAATATTTTTAGCTTTTCTTGGTGACAGACATCTCTGAATACAGTAACTCTGCTCCTCTTACATCCAGATTTCAACAGGAGATTTACTGCCTCTTTTCTGGAAGAGCTGTGATATTTTTACTGTAAAGCAGACAATGCTCAGCATCACATTTCAGACAAGCTCTCTTGCCCAAATGCTCTGAGCTGTGAGGCAAAGCAGCCTGCTTGTTTCCTGAAGCAAAAACCTGGAAAGATGCATTTGTTCCCAGACGGTGCAGCTTTCTTCCTTTGATGAGCACATAGAGACTAGAAACTCTACCCATAATTTACATGGTTCCTTTTTTGTATCAGTACAAGTTCATATACATCCAGTTGTGTTTTTAACTGAAACTTACCTTCTGAACTGTAAACAAATTATCTTCTGTTTTTTCTATTTCCCTGACTTTTTCTGGACACCTCTTGATTTGAAACTTGAGTTTTGAGTTAAATATAATGAGAACAACCCAAAACCTATTATAGAATTAAGGTTTAAAATCTTTTGTACATTAGGTTACAGGCGCTATTAGTACTCTTATTACTTCGCCATTGCCAGTACCTTGTAAAAGATAAGATTATCTCATTAATCCTGTTGTGCTCCCTCTAAGAAGGTGAAACACTAGATAAAAGAACATAGAAATAAAGCAGTTGGTAAATGGTGTCTGATATTAGGAGTATTAGAGCAAAGCTGTGCATACTGCCAAAGTACCTCTAAAGTACAAATTAAAATCAGGGATCTTCACATTCTGTGTGTTCCAGCTGGACACAAACATAAGAACAGTTCTTTTTGGTCAGTCTAAAGTGTGGTAGAAAACAGTGCTCTTCCACTTACTGCTGCTGTTACCCTCTAACTTTTTCGGTAAACATTCACAGTCCTCAGAGAAAACAATGCCTCAATTCAAAGACAAACAATAAAAGATAGCTTAAAATACATATACATATATAGTTATAAATAGATATGAGCCTGTTTTCTTTCCTACCCTCCTAATACTTTCATCTTGACAGCAATTACTATTTCAGAAGACAATAATGAATGGTCAAATATATCAGCTGTATTTACATAAAATAAAAAGAAATGCATAAAGGATAGTAAGAAAAAAGAAAGATGTAGACTGCATAGTTACTGGTGTAGTTACTGATAAAGTAACTATGTATTAAGGGTTACAACAACAGGATGGGAATAACCTACTTTTTAAGCTTGACTGTACGGCCTTTGGACAGAAGCGCATCCTGAAGACACGGTACCTGAAAGCTTATAATGGCTTTACTTTTACCCATGAAAATTCCATGTTTTAACATTGCTTTTTCACCCACTCCTGACAAATTGCAACTAAGAAGAAACAGTAATTTCTAACAATCATTTCATATCAACAGGGAAAGCTTTCTGCCCTAGTGACCAGGACAAATCTGTTCTTAGATAATTACTTCACAGTATCATTGGTATAAATTCCATCAGCTCAAAACACAGTGACTTCTGCAAAGTTGCCAAGATCTGTCTCAGCAGTCACAATCTCCAAAGGAGGTATGATCAGTAAAGGAGAACTGATAGTTACTGCTTGCCAAAGACTATAGGAAAGTTAACAAAGCATTTTGGACCAAATTATGGGAATAACAAGTGCTAAATATCAGATTTGCTTTTACTATCACTTTTCTTATTATGAATAAAAATTTCCCAAAGTGAGTCAGTTTCTCTAATCTTGAGATGCTGAAGAACATTCACAATCTGATGCCACTCATCAGCTCAGCTCTCTCAGCATTATGCCGGACCCCTGGAATTCTCAGGCAATTCAGTAAAATGGGCACTAACACATAAAACTTCACAACAGTCTCCCCAAAAACCCCCTCACCATTACCCACTAGTGACCATTCATAAAGGGATTTGAAGTGAGCAACATTTCCATGTGGAATGAACCAAACTTCTACTGTGCAGGATGGAAGCAGCACATTTCAAACCCAGTTAGACCACAGGCATCAAGGTTCTTCACAAGGTAGGAAGGAACAAATGTGGCCTTAAAGGCTAATGGCATCATGTTGTCATGATTCAACCTGAATTGGTCCGCTCAAGTTATAGACAGTGAAACTTTAAAAATTAATACTTCATTTCATCTAAGCTGTCCCTGAATAAGTCATCTAACTTTAAAAAGTGCTGACAGAAGATCTGAATTGCTTTTTCATAGAAATTGAGAGTTTTCATCCCTTCCCTGAGGAAAACAAAAGTAATTGCAGGGTTTATTTTCCTGTAAAATTTGTTGATTACCTCCAAACATTCCGATTTTTATAGGGTGAAAATTAGTGTCTGAAGCTGAAATGTGTGACTGCAAAACCTTTCCATTTAGCTAAATGAACACAAAATTATTGCATTTTTTATTTTTAAATGAAAGCTATAGTCCTATATGCTACTGAAAAGGCTGTGAATGCTTTGAAACCTTTTCTTTATCTTTAAGGAAAACCTTTTTATAAATTAAAAATGACCACTTTAAATCACTTCATCTAGAGGTTGCTCTAATGCTGTAGCTTAGCAGGTTATAGGTTTTTACAGAGGAGCTATAAATTCTCCAAGTAGACATCAATAATAGAAATAATTGCAGAGTCTTTACAAAGCAGTATGAACAATTATCCCACAATGTAACAATCTGTTTCCACTGTAACCAGCGATGAATCAGATGCCCATTAATGAATAAAGGTTGTGAATCATCATTTCTAAAAGATGTAAGACTATGAGACATAACAGTTTCTTAAAATTGGCTCAATAGCTTGTCCCTGTTAACGACTGCATGACCAGAGATGGTTAGTGCTACCTTTGGTGTTTGTCTCATGTGCACCAAGTTTTTTTTGTGTGGCTTTGAGGTCAGTCAACTCACAAGGACACAGACCTTCTGGTAGTGCGCTGGGAAAAGTGAAAGCTGTGCTTTCACCTAGACCGTACAGCATCACACTTGTCAGCAAGGCTCCTTCACAAAGTGAAAGGGCCTAGTTCAACACAGCAACATCTGTAAGCAGTTTCTTATTTTATCTCAAACAGTTCACTCACCCATCAGTATGCAGTTAAATGCAGGATGAGTCAGATGGTAGCACAATATCCGCTGCTGGTAACTAATGAGGCAGGTCAACATCTATACATCAAATTATGAACTAATGGTGATTGGCAGCTTTGGTTAGAGACAGTGGGCACAGTATATACTTTTTAAGGATGTGTATTATTATACTTAATCCACTAACAGTATATTTCACAGGCTTCTTATTTAAAGCACAATAATTTTAAACATCTAAGTTATTAAGAAAATCATGTCATTAATTTCTGTGATAAACTGTTGGTTCTAGAGGCAACACATGGATTCAACTGGTTTCAGTACACAGTAAAAAAGCTAAAATTAGTATGTCCTGGGAAAACTGTAGAAAACAG